AAAAAAGGGGGCGACGCGATCTATTACGACGGTTTCGGCAATCTTCGTCCTCCGCGCGAGCTCGCGCGTTATCTCGGGCGTGATGCGAACATTCGATACAATCGTCGTTCCGAGCAAACGTGCGATCAGAATATCTGTGGACAATTGAGTCTTCGATTTCTCCTGGGGGTCGATTGGAGAAATCGCACGCTATAATATCGACCGTCATTCGTCGATCGAGCGCAGTTCGACCGCTCTCGTCCATCCTGTCGCTAACTCTTACTTTTTCCGGACGAAGCAGCATTCTCGCGGCGAGTTACTTTCCGCCTCTGGATTTAAACGACGATGATTACGAGTTAGGTTTAACCAATTTCGAGATTTATAACACGATACCGAATGTAAATTCCACGAATGATAAATTTTACTTCAACGACAACGACGAGGTTATCGCGATTCCAGTGGGATCTTACGAGTTAAGCGCTATAAGCGCGTATCTAAGAGCCGCGATTCATCGCAAACGACGAGCGAGAGAGGAGAGACGAGAGCGCGGGAACGAGGAACTGGAAACGAGCGATGACGATTATATATACAGCGTCGGTGACGACCGCGACGACTATTTCGAAGATGATGAGAACGGTGATAAGAGTAAAAATTCTATAACGCTTCGCGGTAACAATAACACTATGAGAAGCGAAATCAAATGCGCGTATCGAGTAAATTTCACAAAACCCGATAACATCGGTTCGCTACTGGGTTTCTCGTCTCGCGTGTTACAATTGAATAAATGGCACGCGTCCGATAAGCCGATAAATATTATGGCTATTAATCTCATTAGAGTAGAGTGCAACGTCACGACAGGAGCGTATCACAACGACAAATCCGCGCATACTATACACGAGTTCGCGCCTAATGTTCCACCCGGATATAAAGTGTCGGAGATCCCGGCGCAGATCATTTACCTCCCGATTATCGCGCGGACCATTACCGATATAAATGTGCGTGTCGTGGATCAAAACGGAAGACTAATCGATTTTCGCGGCGAAGAGATCACGGTTCGTCTGCACGTGCGGCAAAGACGGTAGAAAGGCGCGCGATGCTCGTAGTGAACGGGTCGAATGCGAGACACGCGTCGCCCCTAGACGCAAAAAAGAGAAAGAAAAAGGGAGGAAGGTTAACCGTCGCCAACGCGGTTTTCCTGCGCTCTTTGGGCTTTGTCGTACCGAGAACCGTTTCTCCGTAAAAAGCGGAATGTGCGACATTCTAAGCGTCGGCGGGGAGCTGATCTTCGACGATCGTATCGTCAAGATCGAAACTCACACGTACAATCCTTACGCCAATACTATGTTCGGGAATAGCGACGAGATACGAATTCCTATACAACAGCAAGATCTGTACACATTACCGTGCGATAGTTTTCTCTACATAGAAGGTAGACTCAAGTCGTAGGAGTCGCCGAGTGCGCAAGAGGAAATCGAGTCGGTGACGAGGCTGGTGAACAATTGCGCGGCGTTTATGTTCGAGGAGATTCGCTACGAGCTCGACGGTGTGGAGATCGATCGGAGCAGAAACGTTGGGATAACGAGAATGATTAAGAATTACGCGTCGCTGACAGTCGAAAAAGGCAAGATATTAAAGAACGCCGGATGGGACTTATCGGCGATAACTCATTCGTCGATCAACGATTTCAAATTTTGCGTACCTCTACACGTGTTATTAGGTTTTTGCGAGGATTACAAGCGTGTCGTGATCAACGCGCGACACGAACTTATTCTGATACGAGCGCGTAACGATAACAATGGTTTCATATCGCGCGAAACAAGAGCCTAAAATCGTTTTGTTAAAGATACAGTGGCGAATGCCTCATATAGTGTTAAAAGATGTTAACAAATTAAGATTATTGCGCACATTGGATAGCGGACGATACCTGAGCGTCGCTTTTCGCTCGTGGGATCTCTACGAGTTTCCGCTTCTACAGAGCACGACTAAACATTCGTGGGCTGTCAAAGCGGCGACGCAACTCGAGAAACCGCGATACGTTATCTTCGCGCTACAGTCCGGAAAGAAGAACGTTCTATCCGAGGAGCCTTCCCTATTCGACGATTGCAAACTAACTAATGTCAAATTGTATCTTAATTCCGATTTTTATTCTTACGACGACATGAATCTGGATTTCGAGCGCAAAGCCACAGTGCTGTACGATATGTACTCGAAATTTCGAAGAACGTACTACGGATGCGACAAAGACGAAGGGCTCTTAAATCTGAATAAATTTTTAGTCCACGGCCCGCTCGTAGTCATCGACTGTTCTCGACAAAACGAGTCGATCAAGAGCGCCACTGTGGATGTTCGCGTAGAGTTTGATTGCAAGGAGAACATTCCCTCTAATACCACAGCTTACTGTCTTATCATTCACAATCGAGTGGTGGAGTACAATCCGCTCACCAACGTTGTGCGCAGAATCGTGTAAGCGCGATGATATTCGAAAAAATATGAAGAGAGAATAATAGAGGCGCACACTACTGCTAATAACAACGATGGACGTACCGATTTTCGTCGATCTTCAAGGTTTCGTAGTTAACGAGAGATTCGTCGCGAAAGAAGTAGCCGTGTTAAGAAATGGCGCGGAATTGACGCATCACATCTGTCGCCGTCTTGGGATTTGCTAACGAGAGCGGAAAAATCGCGAACGTGTTGGTTGACATCTAATCATCATCAATTAAAGTGGAATGACGGACACGTGAATTACGGGTCGATGAAAAGACTCATTCGGGACGCCGTATGTCGAGAATCTAGCCCCGATTCAGCAATAAGAATCTACGTTAAAGGTCACGAGAAGAAAAAATGGCTAATCGAGATCTTAGGAAACGTTGCCGACGATCGCGACGTAGCCGTCTCCGTCGAGAC